TATAACAAAATAATCCAATATGTCTACTCTATGCCACAAGTTTTGGCTGTTATAAAGTTTCAATGTCTGATGAATAAAATCCATTGTTTATGATAAAGATTTCATTAGTATTCACAAATAGGAGGATAACACCAGAAAATCAGTAGGCAGGGGGCACTGGATGGGACACTTGTATATGAGGGTGAAATGCAGGCCCACTCAGATCAAAATTAAAAAAATAACAATATCTTTTATTAAGCCTTTACTATTATTATAAGGTTTTTATATATGACTATTTAAATATTTTTTCAATTATTAGATTAATACAGTGAGCAATGGCTAAATTATCACCATTTTATATTTTTAATTTTGCACATGCGTTGTTTTTGATTTTGTCAACTGCACAGTATAGTGGGGTCAGTTGGGCACCTTCTGTGAGAAAAAAGATCACCATGATGCAATTCACTCCAACAAAAATTTGGAAACAGCATGCTGTACTGCTTGACATTCATGCTGGAAGCTCCAATATGAGCATTTGTTTGGATGTCAATTTGAGGACAGTGCAGAAGATTTGGTGAGAGTTGTATGAGTCTAATGGTGATTACAAAGGTGCTTGGAGTGATCACTAGTGATGGCAATGTTATGCATCCATTCATCTTCCCACAGGGTGTCAGACTCAACATGGAATACTACATTAAGTGCCTTGAGGAGGTAGGGCTGCTCTAGATTAAGAGGGTCGCTGCTGGAAGACCCTATATCTGGCAACAGGACTCTGCAACATGCCACACAAGCAGGAGAACCCAGTCATGGCTGTCAGACACTTTCTGTGATCACATCAGCTCTTACATCTGGCCACCTAACTCCCCAGACTGTAACCCTCTTGATTATTATGTGTGGGACACAGTTGAGCGAGAGACCAACAAAACTCCTTATAACACCAAAGATGAACTGAATTCAAGGATTATAGCAGCATTCACCAACTAAAACAAGGGGACAGTCCAGAAAAGTTGGAGAAGATTCTGGAGTTGTCTTGAGGCTGTGGTTGAAAACTATGGCTATTTATAGAATAAATTTACTCTTTAGTATTTCAAGATATTTTTGTGAAATTTTGGTAAATATATGTCAAAATGAAATATCAGTGTTTTTTTTCATTTTTGAGTAATTTAGACGACAATTTATCCATTTCACCCTGTATATGCTAATTATTACTTGACAATATAAAACCAATCCCTCACTTTGTGACCATTAAAATCTCACATTAATCTAAGTTTAACAATGCGTTAAAAAATTATGGCATATTTAGTTAAGTCTTTTATGAGGTTTTCACATGTGAGACCTTAAATATATTTAGCCAGTTATTATATTAACCCTGGTTAATGGTTGTCATCAATTGATGTTTTATGGAAGATCCAGTTTTTTTCTAATAATATGGGCATTGTTCATTCATGATTTGGGTTTAAATGACTATTTGGTAACTCTAGGATTCATGGAGTTCTGTCAATTTCACAAGTATTCACCTGAAAATAACGGCTGGAAGAACAAGACAGTCCTACATCTGAATGCATATTTCTCAAAGACACAAAACATAGTAACAAGTTTTTGCAAAGAATGCATAACTATTTAGGGAATATTATACTATCAAAAAAAATGTTACATTTAGGAAGCTAACATCTAAATGTACTTGATTCACTAGCCTTGAGTGGCAGTCAGTCTAGGACAAAGATAACAAATTTAAAACTCAGTATCTGTCTATATTTCTGAGGTATTATGTACACTATTTACATTATTCAGATTATTGTCTTCATCTTTATCGCCCTATTTATTACAACGTCTCGGCCGTTGTACGCTCTGGCCTTCTTCAGGTGGTTGGAATGTCGAACTGAACCCTTTATTTCGCTCACTGGGGTAGACTGTTCTAGTTTCACGTGCCATGTTTAATGGATGTCAGTTATCAGCTATCTCCTGTTAATTCCCCTCTCCAAGTTCTCCACCGCCTTAACCAGGTATTGAACTTGTACAGTGGATAAAGGTGTTAGTTAGATCCAGTGACAGGACCCAAAGAGTGTGTGTTCAATAACTGGTTAAGGCGGTGGAGAACTTGGAGAGGGGAATTAACAGGAGATAACTGAAAACTGATATGGCACGTAGAACTAGAACCGTCTACCTCAGTGAGCGAAATAAAGGGTTCAGTTTGACATTCCAACCACCTGAAGAAGGCTGGAGTGTACAACGGCTGAAATTTTGTAATAAACATGCCGACAAAGATAAAGACAATAGTCTGAATAATGTAGTGTAAATTTAAAACTATGAAGAAATCAACAGGAAACCGCCAATCTCTCACAGGAAGTAAATTCACAGGTATTAAAAAAATTTCTTTAATTTTATAATCTAACAGTTAAAAATATTTTTTTTTATAGTTTTTGTATAATAAATAAGCTTAATAACTACCCTTTAAAACAATGAATTTTCTCATTTTTTTTTTAATATTTGGCATGTATTTCATTTTTCTGCCATTTCAGGGTTAATATGTAAGTTTGGTGGAATTAATTATTTAACAACAATCCCTCACCTTAAGTACAGTAGACTTTTATATTAAAACTAGTTTACACCTGCCATCAAAAAACACCACCATAATATTTGTTAAGTCTTTGCTATTATCAAAACATTTTCACATTTGAATTTTGAAATATATTTTTCTCCATTTACTTATTCCAAATGAGATGAAATTATTACTAATAAAAACCGATTCTCCACTTTATGCCCAGTAAAACATCATATTTATACTAGTTTACTAAAGCTGTCAAAAAATTACGGCATATTTTGTTAAGTCCTTATGATTGTGAGAAGGTTTTCCATGTTTTTTTAAATACATATTTCCAATTGTCATATAAATTCTTAGGGTAGTCACTTTATTACTTCATAACAAAAGAAAATCGATCCCCCACTTTATGTCAAGTAGAACTTCATATTAATATTAGTTTGCCATTTATGACAAAAAACACTGCCATATTTTGTCAAGTACTATTCTAATATTATCAACGTTTTAAATATATTAATATCTAAAGATTTTTCCAATGATTACAAATGACCCATATATAAATATCTTTCAATCTATTTTTTTTTTTTTAATTTTTAGCCTTTTCTAGATTTTACATTTCTTTACATTATCCATTCAAATAACCTGCAATTGCTGTAGACACTGCCACCTGGCATCGCCAGTGTAAGGGAAATAATTATATTCTCAATATTAAAACTTACAGACATTATAAACAAAAAGTGAATACATTCAGAAAATTATATAGTAAGATGACGAGTACCATCAGAAAAGCTGAATGGTACAGTGGCTGAAACTCTGAAAAACAATGAAGATGAGGATATTAGTCTGAATGAGCCAATATAGAACAGTCAGAAGGATGCTACAGATATCATAGACTGAGCATGTGAGCAACGATGAGTTTTTAGAGAGGTTGCAAACAAGAAGGAAGCTTATGCTTAACATCAGGAAAAGGCAGCTGAAGTTTCTGGGATACATAATGAGGAAGGAAGGCCTGGAGAATCTGATACTCATGAGTCGAAAAGAGGGAAAGAGAGACAAGGGAAAGCAGTGTGTGACATACCTGATGAGCTTGAGCAGGTGGATGACAGAACATGGTCTGGGGAGGAAGCGGGGGAAGGAGTTTGCTGAGAGCTGCAAGGGATAGAAAGAGGTGGAGAGCCATGATCACCTACATTCTGAAAGGACATAGCACATAAAAAAAAAGAATCACAAAATTAGGCTATTTGCATATAACTGTTTGGAAAGCACAAAAAAAGGGAGATTAGTGAAATGAAAGAGTCAGCAAATAGTAAATAGCTAAGAAAATAAAGTCAACAAATTTAAATTTTGTTTATATTCATTTTTTTTCTTTTCTTCCAGAAAAATTATAATTCTCTTAGACTCCCTTTCATCACCGGTCAAAAAATGGTAGTGTGGAGAGTAAGAATGTTCCCAAAACCTTTTTCTTTCTTTCATAATTTTTCCAAGCAAAAGTAGCTGCTAATCAAGTGTCATTCATGACAGAAACAAAAATTCCTAACAACTGTAGGTTTTAAAAATCTTCTTGAAGCCTTTAGAAAACATTTGAAAGAATTCAACTTTTTAAGCACAAATAAATATCTACTAATCATTTGATCTTTTCTGCTGCCCAGAGATGAAATCTTTCCAGTACTATATTGTCTGGGAATAATGTCATTTTAAGATTATCACAATATAAACACTTTTAATGTCTCATTTTTTAACAAATATAATCACACTACAACATTTGATAGTGTAATGGTTATCAGCACAGAAATTGCTATCAGAAAGCAAGGTTCAAATTCTGGCTTTATTTGTTGTATTCACTTTAACACTAATGCCGTTATGAAAGGGAATCAGTTTATCTCCTCTCCTCCCAGCTATGGGTTAAATAGAAATGTACTTGGTCCTCTAGCCTTGAGTGGCAGCCAGTCTAGGACAACAAATTTAAAACTATGAAGAAATCAACAGAAAACCACTATCTTTCAAAGGAAATCAATTCACAGGGATTAAAAAAAAGGAAAAAAAGAAGGAATCTGTGGAGAGCCATGACTGTTAACAGAGAAATGGTATTAAGAAAAAAAAAATCATCTGTTACAAAAATTGTTACATAGTTAGAAGATCCATTTTTACTCGATTCCAATTTTTTTTGCATCTAAGCCTTTGGTTTTTTATTCTTATTTTGATGGGCATGATTACTTTCAATGATATCTGAATATTTCAATTTTACAAGCGCTGACTGTAAAAACCAAAACACAGAATTGTTAGAAGACTGATGCACAATTAATAGAGCTGCCTTACAACTGAGAACATGGATTACTAACTCTTCAGGGTTTGTTGAACAAAATGATATGGATAATTTTTGGTTATGTTAAACATGGCACCATGACAGTAATTGTACCATTCAACCAAAGCTGAATGCAGAAAAAAAAAGTTAAGTCTTTTGCAGACCTCTTTTCTTTTATATCTAGTGTACTGGCTGAGGTTGTGGTTGACTTCCAGGAGGTTCAGCAGGGGTTTGTGGAGTAGTTGGAACAATGGGGTCACAGCAGAATTTGGCTGGCTCCTGGTAGCCCTGTGATGCATGGATTTTGAAATGTCTTCGCAAGAGAGCCTGTGTTGCAAATGATCCTGTACAAATGTGACACTTGAATGGTCGGATTCCCGTGTGAATTGTGATGTGCTCTTTGAGAGAACTTGCACGTGAAAAGGCTGATCCACAGGCATAGCACTGGAATGCTTTGACTCCGCTGTGGACCTGACTGTGTTTTTTGAGGTCACTGCGCTGCAAAAATGCTGCTGTGCATAAAGTGCATTTAAATGGCTTGATGCCAAGATGGATTTTACGGTGCCTTTTGAGAAGGCTTGGTGTTGTGAAAGCTACACCACAGTCTTCACATTTCTGTGGTTTTATACCATTGTGTCGAGCATAATGTTGCTTTAAAGAGTGCCGTCTGGCAAAGGCTGCAGGGCAGTCGGAACATTTAAATGGTTTCTCACCTGAGTGAACTCGACCGTGCTTCACAAGGTCACTCTTTTGGGAAAAGGAAGCGTGACATAATTGGCATGAATAAGGCTTCACCCCAGCATGTAAAAGCCGGTGTCGATTAAGGAGACTGTGTGTTGAAAATGAGGATTCACAGTATTGGCAAGAGTATGGCTTCTCTCCTGTATGACACATCCGATGTTGTTTCAATGAACTGCGACGAGCAAAAGCTGCCGAGCAGATGTCACACTGGAAATCTTTCTGCCCTGTGTGTGTCCTGTGATGCTTGGACAGGTCACTTTTTTGGATGAATGCAGCTGGACAGAGGTCGCATCGATGCGGCCGCACACCAGAGTGAATCAATGCATGCCTACGAAGCAATCGCTGGGTGGAGAATGCCGACGTGCAGGACATAACAGGGCAGTGGAAGGGTTTGTTTCCTGAATGGTTCATTTTGTGCTGTTTTAGGGAGCTGTTTCGTGAGAATGCAGCAGGACAGAGGTCACATTTGAAAGGTTTCTCTCCTGTATGAACCCGTCGATGTTTGACGAGATCACTATTTTGTGAAAATGACGATGGACAAAGATCACATTGGTAAGGTTTCTTCTCCGCATGGATTGTCAGGTGTCTCCGCAACAGATGGTCGGTGCTGAAGAAAGAGCTACATGATGTACATTGGTATGGTCTCAATATTACATTTTCATCGGTCATTTTGGTTATTTGTAATTGAAATTGTTATACTGGAGGACACATTGGATTTTAGAAGAATTATAATTGGAATATTAAAGTCCCAATGATCACAAGATGTTAAAAGGTTTCAAAATAGAGAAATAAAAACAATAAAAATCAGGATTTTAGAAAAAAAATTTTGAACAGGCTTTTATGAGAGATTTTTTTTTTACCATTCATCCGAGAAGTGTTTGTCAATGAGATTCAAGATTGCAGTTTTATTTAGTTTAAAAAAAAAAAAAAAAACATAAAATATCACCTGTTGATGGTTAGAGAGTGAAGTATTCAAAACTCAACATTTTACTTTGTCCAATTGAAGGGCAAAAACAGTTTTTTTATCAAAATATTTTCTTCTGTTATGAAAAGTTCAAAAAGATGAGCAGTGCCATTCATTTGAAAACATTTCCGACTATTGTCATGAAATTTGGGCCGGGAAGAGATTCATTTAAGTAATGAAATCCATGGGAAAAGTTTAATAATTTTGCAGATTCTGGTGGGAGTCACAGAAAAAAGATTATGGTTTAAATGAATGAAATTCAAATGTAAAAATCCAGAATTTGAAATATCATGATTGATAAAAGAGAGACAATTAATGCTTTGTCTTGAGCTTATACCCAACACAATAAAAACAGGTCTTAAAAGACTTTTAAACCATGAATTAGATGAAAAATGTTGAAGATTTCATTCACTATGGTGGTTGTTTCTTGTAGCCGACCCAAATGAAGAATTGTCGATTCTGTAAAGAAAAAAAAAAAAAAAAAACAGATTTGAAAATATAGAATTTTATTGGCATTAAAAGTTTTAAAATAAAACTTTATTTTACCCACCTGACAATATTTTTTTTCTTAGCATAGAAAAGTCTAAATAAAAAATATCAAATGAATGAACCACTAACATCTCCTTAGCTGACACATTTAAATCAGGTTTTAAACCAAAAAAAAAAAATAGAATTTTGTCAATGTTTCTAACCAATTCTATATGTTTCAGATTTTAACATCAGAACAAAAAAAAGTTTCTAAAAGAGTTTAGCTTTGCTTTCAACTGTCCAGGAAATAATGAATTCAGTTCAGAAAAACTATAAAATTATGCATATATATTCCATCAGTAAAAATATTTAGTTTGAAGTCCTTCCAAGGACGAAATGTGTCACATTGAATTTTTTTGTTTCATCATTCAATTATCCACTATTGTGGATTACATATATCTTATTCTACCATAGATATATATATATATATATATATATATATAAAATAATAATAATATCTGGCGACTTGTATCCGAGGATGCCTGTCTACTAGGGAAGCTAGCCAATCTCTATTGCAGATGCTTGCTCAGGCACATTTGTGTTTGTTCAACACCCACAGAGCCCACTTGTGGTTTATACTGTAACTACACTGAGCAGACCTTAGTTACAGTTTCTGGAAGAGAGCGTGTTATCTAGCATGATGACCAATTTGAACAAAGCCAGTATGCTCAAACCCTCGGTCATGATGATTTGTGGCTTCATGCTAGCACAGCTATCAATTGCCCACAAGAGTTTCATCTACCCAATTTCACTCACAAGGCGTGGGTCAACCAATATATATATATATATATATATACATACATACATACACACACAGCATATATACTTGCATATCATGTGACTGTAGAAGGCTTAATTTGAAGCTAATTTTAAGGGGATTGCATGTTATACAATTATATTGTACTGCTGGTTTTGGCTATGCCATTGACCAAACTATATATTCATGGAGGGCATCCTCATTGTTGTCCCTGTGCAAAGTGGGTTGTATCACAATGACAACACGACTTTTACAACAACAATATAAATAACAAATTGAATGTCATTTGTACATTTATTTGCTTATTGGACACATTTTGTGAACAGACACTACACAAATTGGTGAGAAATTACTTTCATAATTAATATATTTATTAATATTAATGTGATTTGTGCAACTGAGAAAGCTTTTTGTAATCCAGATTGTTTACTTCTTGATTGTATGCAAGGCACATACATTGAAGATTCAATAAACAAAATCAAAAAACTGGTTTCAGTTTTTGATCTTCTTTATGGAAATAAAATAAAATAAATATTAAATATATATGGCTTCTGTCTTTGTTATCTTTTTGGGGGATAAATTAATATTTCAGGCAACATGTCACCAAAATTATACCAAAATCTTTTTAAATGGGCTTAAAAGCTTGTTATGCTCTTACAGGTTGCATAAAATTATTACACAGGCCATCTGCAATTTGTAGTTTGCCTAACTCTGGGATAAGCCTTTATATCTAAATGGACAAAATTATCTTCATTAAGGCTGGGGATTAATATTGAAATAAAACATTTTCAATGACCAGGCTTCAAAATGCAAAAACAAAAGATTTTGAAATGTCTAACAAATTTGGATATGGTTAGCAAGTTTTCAGTAGGATTTCTTTTCTTGTTGGACTTGTGGATGTCCACAATCATCCAGAATTCTTTCCACTTTAAACTTGTCTTTAATGTTGTGTCATATTTGGGGGATCTGTTTGTAAATCTCTTCATAACTGTCTTTTCAACATTTTCAAACTTCCAAGAATATTTCAAGATATATTTTCTTTTCTCAAAGCCAAGTTAACTTCAGCCATTATTTTAAATTGGTTATGCTTATGAAATAAATATTTACTGAATTAAACAGCCTATACAATTTAGGAGGAGGTTAAGCCTTTCTCTGTACATGGGGGAGGGGTCATCAGAATCTTCCCAGGCTGTACATCTCTACAGTTATTGTTTATTACTATTTGGTCTACTGAGTTAGTCTGCCAAAAGAATATGGTGCTTTCCAATATTTAATTATTACACGAGATTTTTAATATTGTATTGGAACGGCTCTGTAATCTTTACAGTTGATGAAAATTCAAGCAACAGGCCAGCATCAAATTTTCTATAAAGCATAGCAAATCTGCTAACAAGATCTTTGAAATGCTTCATTGAGATTTTTTCAATCATTATTTAAGTCATTCAGATTGACCTATCACCAACAAAATGCAAGAAGATATGGGGGCAAGTTTGTGAAAATCTCTGGGGACTGTCACTGATCAATCCATCAGCTACCTAACTAGCTAGCTCTCTCTCATGGTTAGAATTATTTGCTGGAATGTTTCAGGAATTGTTTTCATCCCTGCTTTAGCAGATTTCTTTGTGAATTGAGTATATCTATATTCAGATTTTCTTTTTCTTTTATGCTTTAAAAAATAAAAAAACATTTTTTATAATGATGATAGATGCTTGAAATAATTCTATAAATGTCAAAGTGAATGTATCAGATAAAATGTTAAATTTGTTCAGTTATACTTAACCCCTTACCTGCAAAACACTACCTTTCAAAACATAAACTTGTGCAAATTATTTAATTTAGTGAAATGTCTCCAATTATTTATAACTTCTATACTGTTAATGATTTCAGTTATATCTACTATTGATTAATAAAATTGTAATCATGGATGATGTGTGTGTGTGGTATTTAGTGGAAAGTGTTCAATATCCACGATAGAACTAACATGGAGAGTTGTTTGTGACTTTATGTTTCACACTTTCAGTCTTCAGAAAACTGGAGTTTGTCTGAAGATCACAAAAGCATGAAACATAAGGCCACAAACAATTCTCTATGCAATCATATATATATATATATACACACACACACACACGTGTAATGCATGACCTCAAATTTTCATTTATAAAAAATGACTTTATCATGTATCTTGTGTATCCTGTAAGTTCCTTTTTTGAGAGACCAAATGACAATAGACTAACCTCTTTTGCTCTATCTCTTTCTCCCATCTTCTAGTTAAATAAGATGTGGCCCTCCTTGAAAAAAAAATTGTCCATCGCTGCTTGAAACAGGATTTATTTTCAATTTTAGTGCCAAGCAAACTTCATCTTCAACATGGAAATTTTATCATCTGATGATTTGAATATGAATTACATTAAGGCAAGAGTGGGGTTCAAGGATCTCTCACTCCATGTGTGCTTGGTTCAGTTGGGATCCAAGAATTGACTTCTTCCTTTGTATAGACAATTACTTCAGGTAATGTGTGTTGGACAGATCATTTGATCAGGGAGGGCGATAAACAGTTATCAAAACAATATCTGATTTGAATATGAATTACATTAAGGCAAGGGTGGGGGTCAAGGATCTCTCACTCCATGTGTGCTTGGTTCAGTTGGGATCCAAGAATTGACTTCTTCCTTTGTATAGACAATTACTTCAGGTAGTGTGTGTTGGACGGATCATTTGATCAGGGAGGGCGATAAACAGTTATCAAAACAATATCTGATTTGAATATGAATTACATTAAGGCAAGGGTGGGGGTCAAGGATCTCTCACTCCATGTGTGCTTGGTTCAGTTGGGATCAAGAATTGACTTCTTCCTTTGTATAGACAATTACTTCAGGTAGTGTGTGTTGGACGGATCATTTGATCAGGGAGGGCGATAAACAGTTATCAAAACAATATCTGATTTGAATATGAATTACATTAAGGCAAGGGTGGGGGTCAAGGATCTCTCACTCCATGTGTGCTTGGTTCAGTTGGGATCCAAGAATTGACTTCTTCCCTTTTATAGACAATTACTTCAGAATCATTTAATCAGAGAAGGCAATTAAATGGTTGCCGAAAATTCTGTATTGACAGATAAATGGAGCCAATCATATTTCAGCATATAGGCGTTTATAGGGAATGATCTTTAACTACAACTACTTTACTATTTTTTTTTTATCCTTAGGGGAGGAGATTCCACTCCTGGGTTTTGCCTTTCTTCTTCTATATTGGTTACCAACTATTATGTGATGGTCCAAATATGTCCAGATTTTTTTTCAGCTGCACAAATCTCTTTAATAGTAATAAAATACAAAACTAAATTTCTCATCTATTTGTGCAGAGTCTGTTCATCAAATGTGTCCAGTAAGCAAATAAATGTACAAATAACATTTGCATATATGATTGTTAATTATATTGATGTTGTGAAACTCGTGTTGTTTTTGTGATGCAGCAAACTTTGCTAATAAAAATATCGTCCTCAATAATAAAAGTTTGCCCCCATCTTGGTTTATCTTGATGAAAATCTGGTGAATAGATTTGGCAAAGAAGTATCATTCACCAGATGCCATATGACTTGGAGGTAGAACTCAAAGATAAGGTTCATCATGTAAAAATGGAAACAATCATTAAAGAGAAAGCTGACATTAGAAGTTTATTTTCCCAATTACTAAAAGAAGTGATTTGTGAACTACATAATTCCAGTGGTGGGAGGACTGTGTGGGTGTAGGCATTTTTTTAATATAAATAAATATATATGAGAGAGATAATATGATATGAAGATTACTTATGATGTGAAACTGACAGTCTACATGCAGTGTTGATTGTTATGCTCACACTATTTATACTGACAAATGGTTTGGTTTGTTTTACGGCATATCAACCTCAATGTCTTTTTTCTTCAAAAAATGTACTGCTGGTAATTTTTCCTCAAAAAATTTATTCCTGTATTAAAACATATTTTTACACTTTTGTAGTGTTTTGACCCCAGTTTGGTGGGGGGGTTAACTATTTGCCCATAGTTGGGACCCTAACAGATGCTACCACCCCAGGTCAGGATGGTAGCACCTGTTAGGGTCCCAGATCTGGGCAAATAGTTAACTCCTAAACTGGGATCAAAACACTATGAAAGTGTAAAATACCAGCAATACATTTTGTAAAAACTTATTACCAGCAATACATTTTTGAAGAAAAAAGAAATTTACCAGCAATAAAAATCTTGTCGGCATTAAATAACCCATTTAGGTTGATATGCCGTTAAACAAACCAAACCAACAAATAATTACCTGAAGAAGGCCGGAGCGCAAAACGAGTGAAACATCGTAAATATGGAAAGAAAGAAAACAGTCCAAACAATGTAAAAAGTATAAAGACTTAAATCATATATGCATGTCTTGCTTGAGGATGTAAAAATTATTTTATACATAATTACCACTCTTTTATTGCTTTTTTTTTTCCCTCACCTCATATTCTGACTACAATATTTTTTTCATAAGAAAGTTAGAAAAAATAAACTTTTCACTGACTTCTGCATGTGTCAAATAAGTCTCAGGCTTCAAATTAATTAAAATAGAAACGTTACTTTTTGATATGGAACTAAAATGAAGAATCACGTAAAAATGCAAATGTTCCTAAAGAAAGTCTTTAAGAACGGAAGAATTTCCGTGTCTCTGATCGCAAATAATCAAATAATTTTTTTTTTTTTAACGAAACCATCAATTTTTTTTAATAATCTTTCTACGAGATTGTATTTCAGATGCTATAAAAATTGTGTTACAAAAAAATGTGTGCACGTAATTCATATGAGAAAAGAATAAATATTAAGAATTCTAAGTCATATTGTTGAATTACATATTTTTTTTAGTTCTGAAAAATATGTATATACTCATACGAGGCAAGGTAAAGCAACCTAACGGAGATATATCAGTTCAGTATGTGGCGTGAGGAAATCATTTAGGATGTTAAACTGGAAGATACCGATAACTTTCATTCATATTTTTAAACGAAATCAGGGAACATGTTTAATAAAAAGAAAAAAAAAAGGTGGGAAAAAGAAAAGAAAAAAAAAAGATAGTAGTTTTACACATAGTAATTTTCAATACAACAGGAATAACAATTTTGTATTTTTTGATTGTTTAAGGGTATTCTCCATGTAAGAATAAAACAAATATTTTAATTTTTAATTTATTCCTAAAGTAAAAATATAACGATATAATTATGACAGCAACGAATTTGGTTGCATAGTAGTTCTCCATACATCCTCTTTTTTTTTTTGACACTTTATTTAGAGATTTTTCCTCATGTTGCCTCATACATTCCCATTTAATTTTTATTACCTAGACAATTTCTGTATTTATCTGTTACCATAAAATCAAACGAAATAAAATTTAATTAACGATTCACGTTTTTTTTTAAGTTTTACCAATGATATGGAGAGGTGGTCGTGTTTCGCATGATTATAGCAAAAGAAACATTAAAATTCTTACCTTTCTTTAAGTAAAATATATATTATTTGTTTTGAACAGTCACATTTATTTCCTAAGGCGACTACTGAACTATGTTTTCTTTAGAGTTTGCTAATATTTTTCTTAAAGCATTTCGACTTTAATTGCAGACAAAATAATCTTCCCAAGCAGCCATGTCAACAAAGGGGAAGTAATTCAAATACTAATCAAATTTTAGCACCGGTTAATGAAATTAAATGACTGAATTAATGAAGTTTCCTTTTATTTTTAAATTTCAGTAAAACAGAAATATGTCTTGCACATTATTTTTTCTATATGTTGCTTGAATAGCATATTTAAACATTTTCAATTCAGAGGATATCGAATTTCGATTGAAATCGATCGCGGATATTTATACAAAAGAGACTTGCACCGGTCGCATTTATCGCTTTTTATAGCTCCCCTGAGGAAATCTACTGTCTCAGATATTGAAATTCTTTTCTGGTTTTGAACAACATAAAAAAAAAAAATCTTTTTTTTTTTTTTTTTAGACAATTTTATTTACGACTGAGAAGTTTATTGTTAATGTAGAAATGTTTGTTTGCTGACATCGACTGTTGCGACTACACACTGTAAAGATCGTGACTTAAAATGACGAGGTACCACTACTAATTTTTTTAAATGTAAGCCAAAAATCACTGTCTTCAGTTGAAAAAAAAATCCAAATTATCAGGAAGTTATCCGATTTAAAAGAAATGTTTAGTACTTATTCATTAAATGAATGAATTAAAAAAATTATATACTGAGAAGGTCACTTTTTAATTTTTATTTATTAGAAAATTTGGGGAAAATTTTTCTATCCATTGTATTTACTTACGTGCTAAATACCCTTGGGAAAGATATGAATCCTCTTCTTCTCTCCCCCCCAGCTATTGGTAAAGCAGGACAGATCCGGTTCTATAGCCTTGGATGGCAACTGGTCTACCGCAGAAAGAAATGGCAACCTACTGCGGGAAAAAAATCTGAATCGTCAGTCATGTATCGAAAGATACATGATTGCCTAAGCGTGTATCACGCATGGCACATAACTGACTGAAAGAACCCCCCCCACCCTGAATGAATACATTATTTCAGTTAAATAATGTATATCAAGTGTGAACATACGGAAAATTCGTCCCGGACCAAAATAATTCAATAAAACTCAAAGTAATTTATTTCCGGAGGTGGTGCTTTTTCATAATTTAAATAAAATACTTTTTCTTTTATCTTTTCGTTTTCCTATCACACACGGTGATGGAGGTGGGGTACTGTTTGTCATTTCAGAAAGCCAAATTTTTCGAATTAGACTTTTTTTCAAAAATTTTATTTAATAATTTTAAAAAGTGACCAAACGATAATGTAGCTTTTTGTCTCAAGATAACTTTGAAGTGCTACTTTACTTTTCTATAGATATTTTTTTCCACTTCCACTAAATTCTTATTCAGGATTGTAGAATTCTTGGCAAGGGTTGTCCCAGAAACTCATCAAGTTATTTTTTTAAGGGCTGAAATATGAGGTACGAAACCCTATCAAGCTCTAGCAACAGATCTGTGGATATTCCAGCTCAAAATGTTTCATTTTCCTAATATTTTCTTGTTTTAATAACAATTATATACAAAAATTTTTTTTTTTTTTACTATTTTAAAAATGTTAGCCTTGTATAAATGTTTAATCGTCTAGGTTTTTTTTTTTTTAATACATGTTCCTTTGAGAGAAGTATATTTTTATGAAGGCCAGACGGTTTGTGTTAAAAATTGTTACAATTATTGTGTATCTTTTTCGGCTCAGCGACCGAAATCTGCCAGATTTGTGAAATATCTACTTCCAGTTTATGGAAAATTATTTTTTCCTATATACAACGAGAGACATGGTCTCAAGCTCTAGTAACATCTCGAATACTGGGGCTTTTGTGAATCTAATTTTCTGAATAAAGAGAGCTGAGGTCAGTAGTTGTGAGGAGAAGACTTTTTCAAGGGGACAAAGCAGGTCAACATCAAAGGTGGCACTAGTTACGGCCAGCTGTATAGAGACTAAGAATTTTGAAGTTCAAATGAAAATTCTCCCGTGGTTGGACAGCCAAAAACGAAAAGAATTCTAAGAAATTTTCCCAAGCACGAACTGTTTCAAATTAAAGGGGACTTTTCAAAAATTACTGTATACCTCAGAGACTCACGTAGGGCAAGTAAAAATAGGGTCTTTACGTTTTCTTTTCAAAGGTTGTTGCACCTTTATTTTTCTGCCTTGAATTGTTTTCTCTCTTTGTTATTTTCAAAATCCTTGTCTTTTCCCAAACTGTAATTGTTTTTTCTCCATTTTCAATGGCAATCCTTTCTATCTGAATCTCGTGCCTTAATAGGTGCACAAAAGGAAATTATTGGGTAATTTTTTTGTATTTGTAACTTTTTCGTAATTGTATAAATAAATGATGTTTTCCTTTTAAAATTTTATGCGGTGGTTGTGTTTTGTAATTTTTAGCCTATTTTTACTATTCCCACTAGACTAAGTTTTTGTGTCTGGCACAAGAACTTGGATTTGGGAGGGAATACATAAATTCTTTGTAGACAGTTTAGACATTCAAATTTATATCAAACATTATAATCTTTATGAACCCCAAAATAACACTTTCAAAGTAAAGCAAAATAACAGCATCTGTTTCTAGCCTATTCTTTCCAAAGAAAATCAGTAACACCTTCTCTCATGACTTCCTTCTCTCTTTTTCATTTTTTATGTCTTTTTTCTCCTCTGCCCCTTTTATATCAATATATAACTTCCGTTAAGTTAACCGTTTAAATGTGTCAATGTCTGGACCTCCTCAAGTAATTTTAAGTATGAAAGAATAGAAATATTAAATTACATCTAACTCACTCATATCTTCTCTCTCCCCCACTCACTTCGTTAATTTACATATGCTTAATACGGCCCGTCAAAAATGTGTAAATTTCTTTTCATTTTTTGTTTCAACCTTTGGAAGTAAAGTCTGATGATCCGCAGTCCTTTAAAAGAGCTGTGGTGAAATAATTTATTACATGGAACCTTAAAGTGGTCTGTTTTTATTCAAATTATTTGCTCTGGATTTACATTGAGCTCTCTGGATTTTATCCTCCTTGGGTCTACCCATACGGATTACCTAGTTTTTCATAAACTAAATATATATATATATATATACACACACGGTTATACTTTTTCACTAATATTACAATGAAACAAAAACAGATCTATGCTCAAAATGGTGGGAGGAACGGAATTTTATAAAGAAACCGAAAAAAAAAACGGAATTTCCTAAAACCTGAAATGGAATTAAGGAAAATTGATCCCTCTAAGTTGGCCACTGAAATAAGTCAAACAAACACTATAAGTATATGCATGTGGTGGGGTAGGTTGACTCTTTGGTTAGATGGTATTTGTGTGACGGCATGAGAGAGATGAACAAGGTTGAGTTTGTAAATTGGTGGTCATAGAAGTAGATATGTTTGCCTATCGTCCATTTCATACTTCTCCTCAGTTTGTGAAACAGGAGTACAGATTTCATTTATCCCTTGTTTTCTGTTTAGGACTGTGTTTCCGTTTCCTTCAACTCTGTACTTCTGACATCTCCACCTGAAATTTTATTCAGTAATTATTATTATTTTTTTCTTTTTATAGGTTTGCTTATAATCCGGTTCACACACCTCGTTAGTCTTTCGAACAGAAGTAGAGGTTTATTTCTTGTTTCCTGTTTAGTATTGAGGTTTTTGCAGTTCCTTCTAAAGTCTACTTCAACTCTATACTTTAACATCATTTTTTTTTATTTTTCAAAATTGTATTTTTGGTAAGAATTTTTATTTTTCAAAAATGTTTTGCTGGTATTTTTTCTATAAAAACCTATTTTTACACTTTCACTTTTACACTTTCATAGTATTTTGACCCCTGTTTGGAGGTTAACTATTTGCCCATAGCTGGGACCCTCAACAGGTGCTACCACCCTAGGTCAGGGTGGACCTGGGAACAACAGCAATTAAGAGATGGTTTTATGCATCTCAAAACCTGTATAATAAGGCATTGTTACCAAATGTGGTTTATAGTCATACTCAGGATGATTTTGTTAGGGTGATAATGAATATAATATTACCTTACATTAAAATGAATGGCTATTTTTATGTTGCATGAATGATTCTTATTTATTATTTTTTTAAAGCATTTCATCCATATCTGGAACTGGAGCTGCTCAATCCACACTTTTCAACTGATTTGTTCCTTAACCTTTCATATATTTATATATAAAAGTATCCAAAACTAAACTGCTCTCTTTTAATCATCTTAAAGAACTTTTTTTGGCTCCCAACATCATGGCTAATGCTAACCATCAGAAGAGTTACTCATTACACCTTCTCTGTTTTAATGTTTTCTACTGACATGAATTGGAATGATTAAATTGTATCTATTACTAGGGTTGTTGCTGGGAAACTTGGATCATTGTATCATGCTAAACAATTTTTCTCACCAGAATCTATCTTACACTATCTCTTTGAAACCTGTTCTTTTATTGTCCTCTCTACTCAATAACATTATATCCTTTGCATTTTAGTGGTTTTATTTCCTTGTTTGGGGTGAAATGATATAAAATTATATGGGTGTGTGGTCAAGTGGTTAGAATGATCACTTTCTGACCATGAGACCGGGGTTGATTTTTCAGGAAGGAGACTTCCTGATGTTATCTCTCTGGAGGGTTCAATCCCAGCATGCAGCACCTTTGTAAAGTGCCTGAAAACCATATCATGAGTTGACCCAAACCTTGTGAGTGAAATTGGGTAAACAGAACACTTGGGGGCTGTTGAAAGCTGTGCTAGCATGAAGTCACAAGTCATTGTGACTGATGGTTTGAGTGTGCTGGCCTTGTTCAGACTGTTGATCACGCTAGATAACACGCTCTCTCCCAGAAACTGTAACTAAGGTCTGCTCAGCATAGTTGCAGTATAAACCACAGGTAGGTTCTCTGGGTGTTGAACCAAAACAAATGTGTTTGACCAA